TTGAAAGTTTTTCTTAACACACTTAAGTACACATTTAAAAGTGCACTTTGTAATAATGTCGAATTAAATGTTTTATTTTAGAATAAAATATTTTAAAGTGCATTTTAGTTTAATTAATAATATTTTGTCATGTTTTAAAGTACACTGATTTTGACTAACACACTAAAGCACATGTAAAGTACTTGATTATTTTAACTGCTGTGTGTTATGAGATATTACATTTAAAGTTAATATTTTAAATGTACTAAATTACGTCATCAGCATTTACGTATAAATGTGTAATTACAAATATATTTAAATAAATGACACAAGTTTCAATAGAAATTACACTAAAATATATCATAAATGCTTGCCAGTACATTCAGCAGTACACTTTAACCATATTTCAAAGACAATAGAAATATGAACAATGTAATTACACACAGAGACGTACTTAAGTCCTACTTAAGTGGGTTAAAAAAGAACTATATTTGCATTTAATATCAATTTAACCAAATACATTTTCATTTAAATGTAAATAAAAAGCAGTTAAGAAAACAATACATTAAATTTGCACTTAAGAATACACATTTTTATATTATATTGCTTTCATAATAAGTACTCTTTTTACTCTTTCTTTCTTTGTCACACAGGGGAATTGTGCACAAAATGTGTGTTTAACAAAGTAATTGGGAAAATTGGGAAAATTCACGTTGACTTTAAGGTTGAGATCAGCACACATCAAAGCTCTATTACACCTGTAACAGGATCTCAGGTTAATTTAAAATCTGTAGATGTACCCTGTATAGTCCCGGGATACCCTCGTGACGGTATATTTTCACGAGGGCGTCCATCATTCCCTTGTACTGCTTCCGTGAAGGGTCTGCATTGTACTGCAGCACCAGCCGGGTCTTTGTCACCCAGACTGGGTTGGTGAGGCAAAGCGTCAGCATGCCTGGAAACATGGAACAGGGGACCTTCACACCAACACTTAACTAGTCACTCCACCTTAGTGCTCTGTCTAACAGATCTAACAGGTTTTTTTTACACGTAAAAGAGACCAATAGGAATAAAAATCATTGCTGTATTATCATTATTAGTCTAAAAATGCAGGCTGGGGTTGATATAGTATGTTTTTGGTCATACTGGTAAAGCTGAAGTGTGTTCATTTCCTATTAGTTAGTGAGAGCATTGTATTGCACTGATTTTTTTGGTCAATAGACTAGTTCTTCCTCAATATTCTTCGGTGTGCAATGGAAAAAAGCTGCTTTTTCACTTCCTAA